GATGACTTAAAGCATTTATTGATGGAAATAAAAAACTACAGCCTTCAGTATGGATTACACATCAACATAAAAGGAAACAAAAATCCTCACAACTGGACCAATAAGCAACATCACAATAAATGAGAAGAATGAAGTTGCCAAGATTTCCTTTTACTTGGATCCACAACTAATGTCTATGGATGTAGCAGTCAAGAAATCAAATGACCTATTGGATTGGATCTGCTGCAAAAGAGCTCTTTAAAGTGTTTAAGAGCAAAGATGTCACTTTGAGGACTAAGGTGCACCTGACCCAAGCCATGGTATTTTTCAGTGACCTCGTATGCATGTGAGAGCTGGACAATGCACATATGCACGTGAGAGCAAGACTGCCGAAGAACTGATGCATATGAATAGTGTTGAAGAAGAATACTGAATATACCATAGAGTGCTGGAAGAAGGAACAAATCTGTCTCGGAGGACTTACAGTGGGAATGCTCCTTAGAAGTGAGAATGGGCAGACTTCGTCTCTTCTACTTTGGTCATGTTGTCAGAAGGGACCAGTCCCTGGAGAAGGATATCATGCCAAGTAGAGGGTCAATGAAAAAGGGAATGACCTTCATCAACGGATTGACATAGTGGCTCCAATGATGAGCTAGCTCTGCATGGCAACGGCCAACCGTGAGGATTGACGAAGTACCCAGAAATATTTCATTCTGCTGCACAAAAGGTCCCTGTGAGTTGAAGTCAGCTCGATGGCACCTAACAATAACAACATATGGCCTGCAAAGATCTTAGATATTTATATACTTTCTCACCCATTTGAGAAGCTCTGGTAGTGCAGTGGTTAAAGAATTCTGCTGCTAACCAAAAGGTCAGTGGTTTGAACCTACCAGCCGCTCCTAGGGAGAAAGATGTGTCAGTGTGCATCTGTCAGGCTATACAGCTTTGGACATCCTATGGGGGCAGTTCCACTCTGTCCTATAGTCACTATGAGTCAGAATCGACTTGCTGGTAATGGGTTTGGTTTTTATCACTCATTCCAAATTTACCTAAATGGTAAACCATTATTTTATTGCTCTGAATTGGTTAAAACAAAATCCTAACCCCATGTGAAGAACTTTTGCTGTTCATAACTTGCATCCCTACAGCCAGGATAAGAAGTTGAAATTTTAGAACGTCAAGAATTAGATTTCAAAAAGGTTCCCATTAGTCTACTACTTAAGTCCCTCTTTATCAACTCCCGACATGAAATTAATAAATATAAATATACACATGTACATATACATAATAGTCTCCTATTAACACTTTAAACTTCAAAACATACACACAAGAGCATGAGGGCAACTCATCATCCTGGTCCTTAAGGAATATCTAATCTAGCAATACTTGTTGTCGTTATTCGCCATCGAGTCGGACCTACTCATAGCAACCCCTCCTTGGGTTTCCAAGGCAGTATCACTACGGAAGTAGATTGCCCAACCTTCCTTCTGAGGAATGCCTGGTGGGTTTGAACCACCAGCCTTCTTGTTAGCAGTCAAGTGCCTTAGTTACTATGCTACCAGAGCTCCCCTAGCAATATTAGAATTATCAATATTTACAAATACATACATTAATAACTTTAGTACCAGACAGGATGTAATAAAGCACTGAAAATTCAAATTTATGTTTGTTGTGTTTTGACACCAATGTATGTCATTTCTCCACTATCTACATACACATGCACAAGAAGCAACTGAAGAGAAACAGCTCTTTCTTCCAGCTCTGTACACTTGATACGGCATCAGACACATAAAAGGTGCAATAAAAAAGAATGTCACTTCAGGAAATCTTTAGTACTTCAAATATCACAAAACAGCTAAGTTTTCAAAACACTACAGGTTTTAATTAAGACACTGTGAAAATATTCTGCTATAAATCCCTCTAAATAGACTTAAATGCTATTTTTTATAACAATAATACTTTCATCACGAGCTATGATGCAACAGAAGGAAATCAATCACCATGTTTTTACTGGTCTCCTTCACCTGAGCACACAGCACTGAGAGACTCAACTAGCTTATCTAGAATTTGCTGATTTTTAAATATTGTGTCATATCTGTAATAAAAAATAACACTCTCCAAATATATTCAGCTGCATGTGTCCTATGTATTCATCCTACTTCATGGCAAATTCTACATATTCCATATACATATACATCCATTTAAATTATGATGTGACAGTTTTCCACATAAAGAAAAAATTCACTTAAAATAGTTCCCTCAAATTTGGCAAAATGTAATTTCAACCAAATTTTCAGCTGCAAAATGAATACAAATGATTTTTCAAAATAATACAAATTATGACAATCTAAGGTTTAATCTAAAACACACAGCAGGTTTTATTACACTTCTACTTTTATAAAGGTAACTGTGTTTACAATTACAGTATGAACACCAATTTTAGAATTAACTTGGACTTCTAAAACCTCTTGCACTCTGAAAAGTTCAAAAATTTTTGCATGTCTTTTTCAACACAATCTCTTGATTCTCATCATAAAGCTCTTACCTGGTGTACCGTACAACCACAGCTATTCAGAATGAATACATAACACCTGACATGACGACTCCAATTCTCCAAATAAAGGAAAAGGATACAGAAGGAAACGGAACAGACAAAGCAACACTAATGAAAAGGACATACAAGCCAAGGACATATGCTGAAAACTCGTCAGAAACATAAATAATGCAAACAGAATAAAAAAATTATTTTGATTGGTACACAATTAAGTATGGAGGGGAACTAAGACGACATCAAACATTGGGAGTGTTGGGACAGAGAGCAGGGAGATCAGAAATTGGGTTGTTAATAAAAGTGAAAGCTAGGGCTTGACCCCCACTCTACCACTGACAGGCGTCAACCAAAGAAAGAGGCAACAGCGAATGAAGACTGAGTCTGAGGGCAGCCCTGAGAATGTAGGGATTCATTAAGGCTCACGTGCACTAAGAAAATCCTGCAACCCAACAGCCAACAGCCTTAGGGTGGGTATCCCTCAGCAAACACTTTAAAGAAGAACAGCTAGAAGAAAAGATTAAGCCGTGGTACACTCTAGAAATGACAATACTGGGTTTTCCCTTTTTGAGTCTTAAGATGCAATTTTAAGTTCCCAACAGTCACACTTCCCACCCCTGTCAAGACAAACTCCCTACCTCTTTGCACCCACATAAAATTCCTTTAACAAGACACAGTGGACCTCAATGAGAGATTAAAAACATAAAATGAAAATGCCTGACTAGTTTAAAACTGTATTCTGACTAACCCTCACTCAGGAATCAGTCAACAAATCCAAAGCATATATTGCAGTTTCTGACGCTAATTTTGAGGGCAGAGTGTACTAAAAGAGAGGGCTGGAGTTAAGGAAAGAATCTCTGGTGGTGCAGTGGTTAACCCATTCAGCTGCTAAGCAAAAGGTCAGTGGTTGAAACCCACTAGCTGCTCTGCAGGAGAATGATGAGGCCGACTGCTTCTGTAGAGATTCACAGTCTTGAAAACCCTATGGGGCAGTTCTACTCTGTCCTAAAGGGTCACTATGGCATGGAATGGACTTGATGGCAGTAGATTTGGCTTTTTTGTTTTTGAGTCAGAGGGATATGGATGACACCTTTTTGCTTAAGAGAAGCAAGGCTTACCAAATGGTTGTAAGGGACAACCACCAGCTGTCATTGACATGATTGCTTCTCTGATTTACTAATTTTATGTTCATCTTTAATATTCAACTATATATAAAGAGCTTTGCTCCCACTGAACACAAAAATGGTGTTACTGTACTGTGTAGGCATATGTGGCCTTTTCAGTATGCCACATATTAGTAACCTCATTTACTGACCTAGAATAGCTTTGAAAAATATAAAATCATTAAGCAGTTGGTGATGTAAGGCTTAAAAGAGATAGCATAAGCTAACTTAACTGGACATATCGAACTAAATAATTCTTTAAACCAAATAGTACTAAAAGTCCCTTCTAGGTAAGAAGGAACTGCCATTTTCTCAAACTTTCAAAAACTGTAGATTATATCAGGATGGCTGAACCTTCTCTTTGTGTTTCTCCCCGTCATTATTTCTTCACACGAAAATCACACCAAGCTTGTTCCCTTTTCTTGAACCACCACTTTTAAGGCACTGTTCTTCATCCGAAAACACAAAATTCACATGCTCACGCTAGTCACTGACAGTGGCGCTTTGGAACTGCAGGTGACCGACGCAGCCAGAGCTCACAGATGTGGACTGGATGCACTATGAGCCTTACGGCAATAAGCGGACTCACAGTCTGCAGATGCACATCTCGGAAGAAGCAGCAATTTTTAAAAACCGTCATTCTCTATTAGATGCACTTTTTGGGCGATTACTAAGCGTTTTTCCCGACCCTCATTCCTGCTTAGTCCTACCCATAATTCATTTTATCTTCTTCAGTTCCAGATCCTTCTTAATCAAACCTGATTTTGGTTTTAAAAATGTAATATAATATAAAGCGGGGCTGGTGGTATTGCCAGAACCAGGAACCGACGAAGCTGCGATTCCGGAGCCTTCCCGCCGCGGCAGAGAGGCCGCTGGAAGTTTTCTGAGAAGCAACGGGCCCCTAGCATCTTCACATCGCCCCCCTTGAGTGAAGGCTCCAAAAAAGATGAGGAATCTCCCTTCCTCTGTCTTTCGCAGTTGGAGCTAACACGAAAAATAAAACACCTCTTTTCTTATCCCACACCAGCTCGATAATGATGCCAGGCAGTGACGCCCCACCCCCACCCCACCCCGTTATTCCTAAAGAGATCCCCAAACACCACCCTGTCCTCCTATGAACTGGACCCTCCCTCGGCTCCAGGGCTAATTTCCTCCACCTCAGCTCCTCTCATCTAATCGGCGGCCCCCGCACATCCCACCCCAACACGGCCCCGGCTCGCACGCCGGCCCCGCACCCCGTCGCCCAGCACCCGGCACTCAGGCCGCTCGCCGCCCGCGCTCCCCCGGCTCAGGATCGCTGACGGGGTTACCGTGGGAAGAGGGGGCTGCGGCAGAGGACGCGGCGGCAGCGCTGCTGCCGGTTGCGTCGGACGCGAAGGATAAGCTGGAGGACAAGGATGATGATGAGACGGGCGCGCTCCCCAGTCTCCATGGAACTCCCGCCCCGGCCGGTTGCTAGGAGCCCCGAGCCTCGGGCCCCGTCTTTCTCGCTTTGTTGTTCCGGGTACGGGGCAGCCGCTGCTTCCCCGCGACAATAAATAGAGGAGACGCGGAGGACCATAGAGACAGCGCGCGGAGGCTAGAGTGCCGCCGGACTGGGCGCTCCTCCGTTCCTCGCTAGCCACTCATTTCCGGCTCTCGCTGCTCCCGTCACTTTCTCCCTCCCCTTCCACACTCTCTTCCTTCATGGCCCTCTAGGCGGACGCTTTCAGCCCGGGAGGTTGCCCGGGCGGGGTTGGAGGTGGGAGGCTGGGGAAGGCGTTCTAGGGGCAATAAGCTAGACTTTTTGTCTTTTTCTCGAGAACTGCTTTAAAAGATTCTGAAAAAAAAAACCTCTATCCTTTGTTATATTTTTAGTTGACACCTAAACGTATATGTAATTTCTGCCCTACGATATGTTTTAATGGCTTTAATTTTGTTGTCAAAGCCTTAGAACTTTTCCTTAACTCGTTCAATTTATAGAAAAGGTTTACCGTTTAACATAACTGGCAAAACTAGTCCTGAACAATTATATGAAACTTATTTTCCATCCGAAAAACTATAATTAAAATAAGGCGTTCATTTACAATGTTGTAATAAAAATCTCACTAAGGAATTCTGAACCTAGTCCTAAAACACAGCGGTGGAGGACGGATAGCTAGAGAACGCATTTTTTTCGCCTGCCCTCTCGATGTTTCTTACTAAACTTGGGTTTGCGGTCAGGGCTCCCTCCGGCACCAACAGGCACTTTAGACTCGGATTGCCAGACGCAGGTGGGGTGGGAGGTGGCCGAATGCGGCTGCAGGTTGGGCTGCAACGACTAGTGGCAGGCAGGTAGGAGAAGTGGCCTGGCCGGTCGGGCAGCTGGGGTTAGGAGGGCGCTCACATGGAAGGTGGGCCCTGGGTTTTGAGGCCTTTCCGCAGCTCTGCGCCCCTCGAATCACGCAGAGAACCGTGAGGGACGCCCCATTGTCAGTTTGAACCGCCACGCTGACAATCAAGCGCGCCCTTTGAACTCGTTGGGGGTGGCCTGCGAGGCGCTGCCCGAGAGCGGGAGCGAGACTTGCCTAACGACCCGGGAAGTGCTGAGCGTTGGAACCCCGAGACCCCAACTCGTACGCCTGCCAGCTCGGGTGTTGCTCCCCAACCCGGTTCCTCTCAGCCGCTCCATTCTGGAGCCTCGGGATGAAGCCAAGGGCAGCCTTGGTTTAATTTATAAAAGGCCACGAGGTGGACTTCATGGATGCCTGGTCTCTGGTGTGAATCGAGGATGAAAAATGATAATGCTACTGACCTTTAGAAAGAGAAAACATGGGCTGAGTTCAAGGAGATTTGGGGGTACCATTTGCATATTTATTTACAGATTCACCAAAGATGCGGATTTTTTTTTTTTTTTTTGCTTTCCACTCTGATTGCCCAGGCCTTCAAAAACTTCATAGAATGGTGGCGTTTCCGTTTTGTTTTGATTTCCTAATTCATTATTTGAATGTTATTGTTGTGTTGTGCAGTCCATTTTGACTGTAGTTACCCCATGTGACAGACTAGAACCGCCCCACAGAGTTTTCTAGGTTATAATCTTTACAGCTAATCTCCAGGTCTTTTCTCTGACCAAGCAGCTGGGTGGCTTCCAGCCCTCTGGGTTAGCAGCAGAGCGCTTAACCACTGTGCCACCTGGTCTCCTTTTTATTTAATATTAAATAATTACAGTTTATGTTATATATTATGAAGTAAATGAACAAGAGGCTGGGTTAGAAAGTAATGTTTGTGCAGCAGTGGGAGAGGACTTTTGGGAGGTAACATTTCAGCTGAGATCTAAGAGATAGGATGGGAGGTATGTACTTAGTGTGTTCCAGGCAGGGGGAACAGGATGTGCTAAAAGCTTGATGTACTGGAGTATTGGTGTGGCAGGAGATCTTGAGTGGAGCAAAAGGAAGAGTAACATGAGACTAAGCTACAGAGAAGTTAAGGAGCTCTGGTGTTGTAGTGCCTAAGGCACTTGACTGCAAAGTAGAAGGTCTGCCTGTTCAAACCCACTAACCACTCCTCAGAGCAAGATTGGGCAATCTACTTCTGTAGAGATATGGGAAACATCCAAGGAAGGGTCACTATGAGTTGGGATCAACCTGAGAGCCATAAGTTTGTGTTTTTTTGAGTTTTAAAAAACCTGCAATGTTTTGTAAGCTTTTCCTCCAATTTCTAGGGGAAGTGAAGGATTTTACACTGGAGAGCGACATGGCCTCATTTATGAAGGAAGTGATATGGAAAAGGCTCTGTTCCTGTGGCTATTGGCAGTGCTGAACATACAATATTATAGTAGTGGTAACCAATTCAAAGATCCTTACAAGGCACCCTGCCTCAAGGGGACCAATGAGCGACGTGATATCAAGCATGTCAATAACTCTGGACTCCCTTTTTCTTTTTTGTCACGGATGGTTCAACAATTTGTCTCACTGCAATAATTCCTCATTCTAGATATGGATTTTGTTTTGCTGCCAGAGCCACTGTTCATGGACTTATTGAACGTTCCTGGACTATTATGTTATCCCATACAATGTTCTCTTCCCGAAAAATTCACTTCACAATGAAAAAGCAAGACAATGGGAGAAAGCCATAGGCTTCATTAGTCTTTTACAAGCATACCTCATAGATAGTGCAGGTTTGCTGCCAGACCACTGCAATAAAGTGAGTATCACAATAAAATGAGTCATATGAATATTTTAGTTTCCTAGTGCGTATAAAAAGGAGCTCTGGTGGTGTAGTGCTTAAGGCATTTGGCTGCCAACCAGAAGACTGGCAGTTCAAACTCACAAGCCATTCTTCAGAAAAAAAGATGGGACAATCTACTTGGGAGTTGTTATGAGTTGGAGTGGACTAGATGGCAGTGAGTTTGTTTTTTTTTAAGTGCATATAGAAGTTATGTTTTCATATACTATAGTCTATTTAGTGTGTAATAGCATTATGAAAAAGTTTGAAATATTATGAAAATTACCAAAATGTGACAGAGACATGAAGTGAGCACATGCTGCACCAATAGATTTGCTCAATGCAAGGTTGCCACGAAACTTCAATTTGTAAAAAAGATAGTATCTCTGAAGCTCAATAAAGTGAAATGCAATAAAACGAGGTATGCCTATAATATGCCTCATTAGTGAGGTGCTAGCTGAGAGATAGGTTAGCTGAAAGTCCTATGGAATGCCAAAAGAACTAACAAATCTGTCCTGGAAGAAGTGCAGCCAGAATGCTCCTTGGGAGTGAGAATGGCCAGGCTTCATCTCACCTGCTTCGGTCATGTTGTCAGAAGGGACCATTTCCTGGAGAAAGATATCATGCTTGGTAATGTAGAGGGTCAATGAGGAAGGGGAGGACCCTCAACGAGATGGGTAGACACAGTGGCTGCAACCATGGGCTCAGGTATAGCAAGGATTGTGAGGTTGGCACGGGACTGGGCAGTGTTTCGTTCTATTGTACATAGAGTGGCTATGAGTCAGAGCTGACTCGACAGTACCTGACAACAACAACAACAAGCTGAGAGACAACACTGTGTAATATTAGAATATGCAGTATATATTTTGAACCAAGACTTTTGATTAATATAGAGACTGAAACCTGGAAATGAGGAACTGCAATTGTCAGATCCTAAAATGCATAACTGGCTTGGTCAAGGTGGGGTGGGGAAAGTGAAAAGCTGTCTTTTCCAGGCTGGGAAAATAGCAAGCTTTATTGATTAGGTCCCTGGTGGTGTAGTGCCTAAGGCATGTGACTGCTAACCAGTGCTTCAACCCCACCAGCCACTCCTCAGAAGGAAGGTTGGGCAATCTACTTCCACAGTGATATTGCCTCAGAAACCCAAGGAGGGGTCACTATGAGTTGGGTCCGACTTGATGGCAAATAACAACAACAACACTGAAAATGTGATCTACAGACCAAAGTCAGTCTTTAAACTTTACTAGTCAACAATGAAATAAATACAGAAATTGAGAGAAGTGTTTTGAAACATTTAACAATTTTGCATGCAGTTTTGAATTTTATGAAAGTATTAGTTATGATGGGTCAATAATTAAAAACAAACTGTGGTGCAGTGAATTACTTAATATGGCCCTTCTAGCCATGCATGGTCTTTGTGCCTCCCACAAAATGATTGGGTGGGACTATACATATAGGGAGGAGCTCTGGTAGCGTAGTGCCTAAGGCACTTGACTGCTAACCAGAAGGCTGGAGGTTCAAACCCACCAGCCACTCCTCAGAAGGAAGGTTGGGCAATCTACTTCCGTAGTGATACCGCCTCGGAAACCCAAGGAGGGGTCACTATGAGTCGGTCCGACTCGATGGCATATAACAACAACAACAACAACATGCATATAGGGTACTTGTGGCCTACCAACAGGATTGGAAAGCTTGCTAAGAATGCAAATATGATGCATGGAATCCTTATGGGGATAGGGCCATACAAATAAGTTGTATGAAACCCTAATGAGGGGATTGTCCAGTTTTGCCATCCCTCTAGGCTTAAAAGAAGTTGTCTTGGTTCTGTGGTGCTGCTATTACAGAAATACCACAAATGGATGACTTTAACAAACAGGATTTTATTCTCTTACAGTTTAGAAGGCTAGAAGTCTGAATTCAGAGTGCAGGCTCTAGGGGCTGAGTGAAAGCCCCTTGACCATGGGCTTCAGCTCTGCCTCTTGTTCCAGGCCCACTGGAGCAAGCTAGAGGCTTCTTCTGACTCACATAGCTGCTGGCTGCTGAGGCCGATAAACCCAAGATCAACAGGTAAAATGGCACAATCCCAAAATTGGCAGGCCACTAGTTCAAGTACAGGAACAATCCCAAGATCAGCAGGTAACACAGCAGGCCACTGGCTCGAGTCCAGGAACTGGAGATGAAGACTCCACCAAACACAGGATCCAAAATATGTCAAAGCTATAAACCTCTCTCAAAGTTTCGCCGTGTATACTAGAAGCAGGCCACACCCCAAAGGCAACTGTCCTTCAACTGATTAGGTGCTCGTAGCAGATCCCACAATGGAAGTGATTATGATTTCATCATGGAGGATAGCTACATCCAGCTGCCAAACCACTCAAAACCATGGCCCA